CTGAGGCAGAAGGATCGCTGGAGCCCAGCAGGTCAACGCTGGGGTGGCCGTGAGCGTGCCCCTGCACTCCAGCCTGGGCGACGGAGTGAGACTCCAACTCAAAAAAATAAAAAAATAAAATAGGGTGACCCAGTGCCCAGGTTTACCTGGAACTAAGGACTTCCTGAGATGTGGGACTTTCAGTGCTGAAACAGGGACAGCCCAGGGCAAACCAGGAGGGTTGGTGACTCTTGAACACTGTCACCAACTCCAACTCCATATTAGAAAAGACCTCTCAGCCGGGCTCGGTGGTTCAGCCTGTAATCCCACGCTTTGGGAGGCTGGGGTGAGTGGACTGCCTGAGCCCGCAGGTTCGAGACCCACCTGGGCAACTTGGCGAGACCGCATCTCTACAATAAATCAAAAAATGAGCCGGGCGTGGTAGCGCTCGAAGGCGGAGGCGGAAGGATCGCCGGAGCCCGGCAGGTCGAGGCTGCGGTGGCCGGGAGCGGCCACTGCACTCCAGTCTGGGCGACAGAGTGAGACTCCGACTAAAAAAAAAAAAAACAAAAAGACCTCTCTTTGAGCATGTCTGCTTCAGAAGTCAAAGGTGTCGCAGCGGGGAGACAGAGGAGACAAGCGGCCTCAATCCAGGAGCTGCCAGGGTCCTGGTCCCTGAACCACTCCTGCTACCCTGGGTCAGTGGGGGAGGGCCAGGGAGAAAGACGGCAGAGGGTGCACTAGAAGGGGAGGGACAGGGACTCACCCCGGCTGCAGGAACCCTGCTCCACGGAGACGGCGTCCAGGGCGATGTCCAGGTAAGCAGTACTGCCCCTCGTTCCCTCAAACATCAGCTGTGGGAGGACAAGGGGACCCCCCAGTCCTGTGAGCCTCTTGTCCAGGCCTCCTGCCCCTGGTCTCCTTCCTGAATTCAGATGGCCGGACCCCCGCCCCCTTTTGGCCACCCCGAGATGAGATACCCCTGGGGCCCCAAGATCTGCCCTCAGTCTCACCTGGAGGGGCAGAGCGAGCCCTGCAGGCACTGTGACAGCAGTTGGTACCCAAGAGGGGCTCTGGGTGTTCGTGTGTTTCCAGAGCACGTTGGGGCGGCTGCCCAGCGTGCCTGAGAGCTGCAGCAGTCTGAGCTGGGCGCCCCACGACAGCCCGAACATGTGGTAGGCAAAACGCACGCAGAGGGGGCCTTGCACCCACAGATCAGGGCTGCGCAGGCGGGCCACTCCGCCCCGGTGGAAGTCGTTGGCTTTCATGTGCAGGTAGCTGCCCTCTGAGGAGGCCAGAGCCCAGGACCCTGAGGCTCTGCTACCCCTGAGTGCTGTCTCCGCCGGCCCCCTTCTCAGAGCCCAGGCCTCTGCTTGCCTTGCCTCCCCGCTCCTTCATCCAGATCTGCCCAGGCCCACCCCCCTGCCCACCATGGTCTCAAACAGGCTTCCCGTGGCCCCTCACCTCCATTGGGGTACCCCCCGGGAGGCCCGGTGATGCCAGTAAGGGAGCGCCCGCTGGCTCGAACCCAGTCTCCGTCATCTGCAGACACTTGGGACCAGTCACAGAGGGGTTTGGAGTCGTCCTCAAAATCACACTGGGTGAAACGATCTGGGAGGAAGAGGTCACTGTAAGGTTTCGGAGAGGGCAGAGAGCAGGATACAGAGCGACACAGGGAGATGGAAGTTAGCGGGACTGCTGAGTTGATCTGGGGTCTGGAGCAGAGATGTGAGAGAGAATCTTTTAGGAGAAATCCAGGGATGGGTGGTGGGCAGAATGCCAAGGTCAGGGTCATAAACTGTCCGGGGCTGGACTCAGCTGCACAGACAGGCTTTGTCTGGGCGGCACAAGTTTGGGTGTCGTGGCCTGTGCCCTGAGGGCACTTGAGGCGGCCACTCCTGGACTGGGGACTGGCGTTCTGGTGCCAGAACATGGCTTCTGAGGGGGGAGAGGACGCCTGAGTGCTCCCGGTTCCCAACTCACAGTTGTCCCTAGAGCTGCGAATGACCGGTTTCAAGTCCGGAGGCTTCTCTCTCCTTGTGGGGAATTTGGAGAAAGCAAAAATGTAACTGTTGTCACTATTAAGAATGATAAGACTCAGGGATGTGATCTTTCTGGTGGTCACTTAAAGATGACTTTTCCTTTCTTTTTATCTATACTGTATCTGGGTTTATGCCTTGACCATTATTACTTGTCTTTTTTTTTTTTTTTTGAGTTGGGGTCTCAC